TTTCTGTCCTTTTTTTGTTTTTTTTTACTGTAATTGGGCAGAGTATAGCATCATGGTTTTTTTTTTTTTATCTGTTGTAGCTCTTCTTTAGAATTGATGAACTCTTTCAAAAGAGTAAGCAATTTCTGTGACCTGTTTTATAGCTCATTTAACCCATTTTGTGGACTTTCATCAGCTGTGGCTGGTGGGAGTTACAGGAGGTTTCCAGCCCTGATTTCTTTCTCGTGCAAATAGCAGCTCCCTGACGCAGGTTAGGGGTCCGGTGTCTGCCTTCCAAGGGCACGGATATGGCTGTAGCATTTGGTTTCTCAGAGAAGCCTTGGCAGCCCTGATCTTTTTCTTTTTTTTTTGAGGTTAATCTGATTATTTTTCTAGATACACTGGATTCCCTTCTTTATCTTTAGTTTGGAAACTATTCTAGTATCTATGATCTGTTAGTCATCTTTCCATGTTTATCTTTGTTCTGTCCTCTGTTCTGGTAAACAGCCTTGGGCTAGTCTTCTATTTTAACGTTGTGATTTTTTTCTTAGCCCAATCCACAACTTACTGTCTTATTTTTCCTTTTTTGAAAACAACAGCTTTATCGAGATATGATTCACATATGATACAGTTCACCTATTTAGATTGTATGATTCAGTCGTTTTTAGTATATTCACAGAGTTATGCAACCATCACCACAATCAATTTTAGAACACTTTTGTTGTTCCAAAAAGCAACCCTGTACCCATACCCCCATTTCCTTCCAGTCCTTCCCCCCAGCCCTAGGCTACCACCAATCTGTTTTCTGTCTCTATAGATTGGCCTATTCTGGACATTTCATTCCTCCTGTGGTAGCATGTGTCAGTATTTTGTTCCTGTATATTGCCGAATAATATCCCATTGTATGGATATACCACATGTTATTTATCCATTCACCAGTCGATGGGCATTTGGGTAGTTGCCATTTTTTGGCTTTAGGAATGATGTTGCTCTGAATGTACAAGTTTTTGTGTGGACGTGTTTTCATTTCTCTTGGGTAGATAGCCAGGAGTGGAATTGCTAGGTCATATGTTAACTCTACATTTTTTTGTTTGTTTTATTTTTTTATTTTGGCTGTGCTGTGTGACCTGTGGGATCTTAGCTCCCTGACTAGGGATTGAACCCAGGCCCTTGGCAGTGAAAGCACAGAGTCCCAACCACTGGGACACCAGGGAGTCCCGCATGTTAACTCCATTTAAGCTTGTTAGAAACTGCCAGGCTGTTTTTCAAAGTGGCCACACCATTTTACATTCCCACCAGCAGTGTATGAGGGTTCTGATTTCTCTGCATCCTCCTTATCACTTGTCATTATCTGCCTTTTTTTTTTTTTTTCCCCAGTACGTGGGCCTCTCACTGTTGTGGCCTCTCCCATTGTGGAGCGCAGGCTCAGTGGCCGTGGCTCACGGGCCCAGCAGCTCCGCAGCATGTGGGATCTTCCTGGATCGGGGCACGAACCCGTGTCCCCTGCATCAGCAGGCGGACTCTCAAACACTGCGCCACCAGGGGATCCCCTATCTGCCTTTTTTGTTATAGCTGCCCACACTAGAACACAGTTCAGCCAAGTTCTCTGCTGCTTTATGATAAAGATTGCCTTTTCTCTCTCTTTTTTTTTTTCGCTGCACCACACAGCTTGCATGATCTTAGTTCCCTGACCAAGGATTGAACCTGGGGCCACGGCAGTGAAAGCATGGAGTCCTAACCACTGGACCTCCAGAGGAGTCCTTAAACATTCATATTTCTAGCAACATTCTGTTCATGATAATATACGTATTCTCTAAGGCAATAGAGGCTTTCTCTACTGTCCTTCACTTCCTTCTGAGCCATCACCCTAATCACTTTTTTTTTGGCCACACTGTGGCTTGTGGGATCTTAGTTCCCCGAACAGGGATTGAACCCAGGCTCTCAGCAGTGAAAGCATCTGGTTCTAACCACTGGACTGCCAGGGAATCCCCCTTATCTTTTTTCTTTTTAATTAATTAATTTATTTTTGGCTGCGTTGGGTCTTCGTTGCTGCACACGGGCTTTGGGCTACTCCTCATTGTGGTGTGTGGCCTTCTCATTGGGGTGGCTTCTCTTGTGGCAGAGCACAGGCTCTAGGCACATGTGGGCTTCAGTAGCTGTGGCACACGAGCTTAGTTGCTCTGTGGCATGTGGAATCTTCCTGGACCAGGGCTTGAACCCATGTCCCCTGCATTGGCAGGTGGATCCCAAACCACTGTGCCACCAGGGAAGTCCCCCCAATCACGTTTCTTTTTAAAATTTATTTATTTATCTTTTGGCTGTGTTGCTGCGCACAGGCTTTCTCCAGTTGCGGAGAGCAGGGGCCGCTCTTCGTTGCAGCGCGTGGGCTTCTCACTGCAGTGGCCTCTCCTATTGCGGAGCACAGGCTCCAGGCGCACAGCCTCAGCATTTGTGGCACGTGGGCTCAGTAGTTGTGGCTCATGGGCTCCAGAGCGCAGGCTCAGTAGTTGTGGCGCACAGGCTTAGCTGCTCCACGGCACGTGGGATCCTCCTGGAGAGGGCTTGAACCCGTGTCCCCTGCATTGGCAGGAGGACTCTCAACCCCTGCGCCACCAGGGAAGCCCCTGCCCCCAATCCCTTTTAATGCCCATATTTTTAGCAGGTTCCTGGTGGCTGCCAACATTCCTTGGCTTATAGGTGCATCACTGCAATCCCTGTCTCCCTCATTACATGGGCTTCTTCCCTGTGTGTGTCTCTCTATGTCTTTACATGGCCTTCTTAAAAGGGCGTCAGTCATTGGACCTCATCTACTTGATTATATCTGCAAAGACTATTTCCACATAAGGTCACATTCACAGTTCCCAGGGGTTAGGACTTCAGCGTATCTTTTGGGGGGAAGTATTCAACTCACAACAGGTAGTTTGTGTCTTTGTAGGAATTTTCCTATTTCACCTAAGTTGTCTTATTTGTTGGCATATAATTGTGCATAGTATTCCCTTATAATCTTTTTTATTTCTGTAAGCTTTGTAGTAATATCCCCCTTTCATTCCTGGTTTAATAATTTGAGCTTTCCTTTTTCCTGTCAGTCTAGCAAAAGTTCTGTGAATTCTGTTGATCTTTTCAAAGAACCAACTTTTGATTTCGTTGCTTTTTTCTATTTAATGAATTTGTGTTCTAATTTGTATTATTTCCTTACTTCTGCTTGCTTTGGGTTTAATTTGTTCTTCAGTAACTTTTTTTTTTAATAAATTTATTTATTTAGTTAGTTTTGGCTGCGTTGGGTCTTTGTTGCTGTGTGCGGGCTTTCTCTAGTTGCAGTGAGTAGGGGCTACTCTTCGTTGCAGTGCGTGGGATTCTCACTGTGGTGGCTTCTCTTGTTGTGGAGTGCAGGCTCTAGGCACGCGGGCTTCAGTAGTTGTGGCACGTGGGCTCAGTAGTTGTGGCATGCAGGCTTAGTTGCTCTGCGGCATGTGGGATCTTCCTGGACCAGGGATTGAACCCTGTCCCCTACATTGGCAGGCGGATTCTTAACCACTGTGCCACCAGGGAAGTCCTTCCAATATCTTAAGGTAGAAGATTAGATTAGTGATATGAGATCTTTTTTTTTTTTGATATAGGCATTTATCGGTTTAAATTTTCCTCATCATCTTTCCTTTTTAATAGACAACTTTGCCCCCAAGGCTTTGTCTAGGAAAAAACCCCTGAGGACAAAGGTAGAAACCAGCAGCTTTTTATTTTATTTTATTTTTTATTTTTCAGAATAATTTGTTTATTGTGTGTCACAGTTTGTTCTCCTGACCCCCACTTTATAGTTTCTCACATCTTTTTTTTGAATTTTATTTAATTTATTTATCTATTCATTTATTTTTGCGGTACGCGGGACTCTCACTGTTGTGGCCTCTCCCGTTGCGGAGCACAGGCTCCGGACCTGCAGGCTCAGTGGCCATGGCGCATGGGCCCAGCCGCTCCACGGCATGTGGGATCTTCCCGGACCGGGGCACGAACCCGTGTCCCCTGCATCGGCAGGCGGACTCTCAACAACTGCGCCACCAGGGAAGCCCTATTTTATTTATTTTTTTATACAGCAAGTCCTTATTAATCATCAGTTTTATACACATCAGTGTATACATGTCAATCCCAGTATCCCAATTCATCACACCACCACCACCACCACCCCGCCGCTTTCCCCCCTTGGTGTCCGTATGTTTGTTCTCTACATCTGTGTCTCAATTTCTGCCCTGCAAACTGGTTCATCTGTACCATTTTCTAGGTTCCACATATGTGCATTAATGTACGATATTTGTTTTTCTCTTTCTGACTGACTTCACTCTGTATGACAGTCTCTAGATCCATCCGTGTCTCTACAAATGACCCAATTTCGTTCCTTTTTATGGTTGAGTAATATTCCATTGTATATAGTTACCACATCTTCTTTATCCATTCGTCTGTCGATGGGCATTTCGGTTGCTTCCATGACCTGGCTATTGTGAATAGTCCAGCAGCTTTTTATTACGGGCGTTTTACTGCTTCCTCTCTGGGCACCTCCTGTGCGCTGGTTCTTGGCTTGAGCCTTGGAAGGACTGACACTGGTCAGTCCACACATTGTCCTGGGCTCTTTTGTTTGGTTTTAAAATGGCATTTGGGTACGATACTCTATGCTGTGCGTGTGTGTGTATCCTGAATGACATGAGGGAAATCTTACTTTATAGCCTGTACGGTAATCCATACTCTGCTGTAGTATTTTCATAGCACAGAAGACAAAAAGACACATTAGAAAAGACACATAGTTAACATTTCTGTGTTTATTTTTATGGCATAAACTGGATGGATGGACGATGGGTGGGTGGAAAAGAAGTGTGATAGCTTTTTCCAAATGTGAGGCTGCCCCTGCTTAGTGTTCCCAGGGTGCCTGATCTTCCCAGCTGGGAGAGGCCCTGTGGCCCAGGAAATGCCCTCCCCCTGACACAGGGCTGATCCCTGGGCCTGTTGTGGGCGGTGTGATGACTGCGGTGTCTCCCTAGGGCGTCTGTGAGGAAATGACTTACGAGGAAATTCAGGATCATTATCCACTGGAGTTCGCCCTGCGAGACCAGGACAAGTACCGGTACCGGTACCCCAAGGGGGAGGTAGGTGGGATATGGGGGCTTAATCTCAGCCACCTGCTGCCTGCCTGGGAGGACCGCCTGTGACTGAGGGCCCCGAGGGGCTCTGCAGAGGCTCCGTGGGCAGCAGGAGGGGCCTGGCCTCAGAGGTAGGCAGTCTGGGTGTGTGTGTCACCTCCACCACTTCTCAGCTGTGGCCCAGGCTGCAGGCCCCTCCTTGGGTGGTGGGTGAGCAGTGCTGCCCAGGAATCCCAACCCTGAGGCCTACTGGAGCCCCGTTTCCCATCACTCCCCATCTTTACTTTCCCCATCCCTGGGAGTGTCATAGGGTGACCCCATCCGCCCTGCGGCTCCAGACAACATCCCTAGCCCTGAATCCAGACCTAGGGATTCATTTTCCCCAGGTGAGTCGTGACTACCATAAGTCACCTGCACTGTCACCTCCCCTCAGACTGGCTCTTGCCTCAGCCCAGGCCCCGGGTAGAAACACTGTCACCTTTTTTTTTTTTTTTGCGGTACACGGGCCTCTCACTGTTGTGGCCTCTCCCGTTGCAGAGCACAGGCTCCGCACGCACAGGCTCAACGGCCATGGCTCATGGGCCCAGCCGCTCCGCGGCATGTGGGATCTTCCCGAACCGGGGCACGAACCCGCGTCCCCTGCATTGGCAGGTGGACTCTCAACCACTGCGCCACCAGGGAAGCCCCCAGTGTCACCTTTGACTCATGTATCTCCCACTTCTAGGACGTGACCTGGGGCAGTGGCCAAATAAAAATACCTCCCACAGACACACAGGTTTGCGTACACACATACACATACATATGTAGAAACCCCCCGCCCAAATGCCAGGCTCACAGGTGCCTATGCTGTGCTGTCCTCGGGAATAGGACAGCTTCGGGTAGCATTGATATTTCCCATCATACTGTGAGGGAGAACCCAGATTTAGAACCAAACCAGATAACAGTAAAAAGAAACAAAGCAGCTGGCTGCTCAAACTTGAGAATACAGGGGGGAAATTGGTAGGGAAGTTAGTTGCCAAAAGAAGCAATCTCGGATTTCCCCAGAAATACCAGGAGCTGGCACAAGTCATGTTGGTATTACTCCCAATCAAATCATGGGGCAGGGCTTCCCGGGTGGCGTAGTGGTTGAGAATCCGCCTGCTAATGCAGGGGACACGGGGTCGAGCCCTGGTCTGGGAGGATCCCACA